AATGATGGATGCTTCCACTGCTGTCTCAGCCACCATATTGTAGCCTATTTTATTCATTCTAGAGTATATATTATGTTTCTGTGTTAATTACAGTGGACCCTCGCCTAACGAACACATTGCATAACGTTAAGTCTGCCTAGGGATACATTTTAACGCAAAAATTTTGCCTCGGCTAGCGCTAAAAAACTCGCTCAACACGATTCGTTCGAGACGCGTCCATGTGCGGCCTGAGCCCGCCTCACTTGTTCCGTGGGTACCAGTGTTTACAAGCCAGCCACCGCGGTCGCTTCCAAGCATAAATCGGAACATTCCATATTATCACAGTCTTTCTAGTGATTGCACCTGCAAAATAAGTCACCATGGGCCCCAAGAAAGCTTCTAGTGCCAACCCTACAGCAAAAAGGGTGAGATTTACTATGGATATGAAAAAAGAGATCATTGCTAAGTATGAAAGTGGAGCGCGTGTCTCCGAGCTGGCCAAGTTGTACACAAAACCCCAATCAACCATCGCTACTATTGTGGCCAAGAAAACGGCAATCAAGGAAGCTGTTCTTGCCAAAGGTGCAACTATGTTTTCGAAACTGAGATCTCAAGTGATAGAAGATGTTGAGAAACTGTTATTTGTGTGAATAAACGAAAAACAGATAGCTGGAGATAGCATCTCTCAAGTGATCATATGTGAAAAGGCTAGGAAGTTGCATGACGATTTAATTAGAAAAATGCCTGCAACTAGTGGTGATGTGAGTGAATTTAAGGCCAGCAAAGGTTGGTTTGAGAGATTTAAGAATCGTAGTGGCATATATAGTGTGATAAGGCATGGTGAGGCTGCCAGTTCAGACAAAAAGCAGCTGAAAAATATGTGAAGGAATTCAAGGAGTACGTAGACAGTGAAGAATTGAAACCTGAACAAGTGTTTAATTGTGACAAAACAGGCCTGTTTTGGAAGAAAATTCCAAGCAGGACCTACATTACTCAGGAGGAAAAGGCGCTCCCAGGAAAGTGAAGCATTTATTGGTGTATCACTCTGAAACTCCCAGAGTGTTCAGGGAAACAATGTCCTCAAGGACTTGACACCTCAAATTCTAATGAAAGGGGATTCCCCTTCTAAACACTAACACCATCCACACTCTCCCCTCCCATCCCATCAATCATCACCAGATCTTCAATAAAGATAAGTGTCATGTAATTGTACATGTCTTCTTCAGTTCGTGTGTATTAAAATTAATATTTCATGTGGTAAAATTTTTTTTTTTCAATACTTTGGGGTGTCAGGAACGGATTAATTTGATTTCCATTATTTCTTATTGGGAAAATTAACTCGACTAACGATAATTTCGACTCACAATGAGCTCTCAGGAACGGATTAATATCGTTGATCGAGGGTCCACTGTACTACTAATATTATTATTATTATTATTATTATTATTATTATTATTATTACATATTATTATTATTATTATAACGATAGAGCTTCAGTTCCCTAAATTAATAATAATAATTATTATAATAATGATAGAGCTTCAGTTCCCTAAATTAATAATAATAATAATAATAATAATAATAATAATGCATAATACGTATGTAATAATTCAGATTGCTTCTTCTAGTTGGCACAGCTGATCAGCAGTAAACATGTTTACATCCCTGTGGTGGCAGTTCTCTCGTGCTTGTTTGCATTTTTTTACAGACATTTGGCCAAATTTCTTTTGTCTAACCATGGGTCCTAGTGATCTACTGCAGTTAGCCTCAAAAGTACTCTGTTTTCTCTTACAGTAAGAGCATGGGAAGATACTATGGTCAAATTGTGACATAAATGGCTGTCGCTGCTGCCGCTGCCACTTCCTCTGCCACCATATTATGGCCAATTTTATTCATTCTAGAGTAGATATCATGTTTCTGTGCTAATTATATTGTTTGTTATGTCATATTAGATGAATTGTGATAGATAAATAAGCTGTACAGTTGATAATAGCATCATATTCAAGTATTTTTTCTCGAATTCCAGAGTGCAGAAATGAATTAATGGCTTTTCAATTAATTTAAATGAGGAAAATTAATTTGATATACGAGTAAATTGAGTTACGAGCTAGCTCCTGGAACGGATTAAACTCGTAAGTCAAGGTTCCACTGTATATGAATTCACTATTCACAGTGTTGAAATGCAATAACAATTAGTATTAGAAATAACGCAACACAGTTATATAAAAAAATTATTGTTTAATATTGAAATTATGGAAATACAGTGGACCCCCGGTTTGCGTTATTAATCTGTTCCTGAGAGCTCATCGTAAACCAAAATTATCGAAAAGCGAATCAATTTTCCCCATAAGAAATAATGGAACTCAAATTAATCCGTGCAAGACACCCAAAAGTATGAAAAAAAAAGTTTTACCACATGAAATATTAAGTTTAATGCACACAAACTGAAGAAGACATGCACAGTTTGTAGTACTCTAATAACAATAAAATACATGACACTTACCTTTAATGAAGATCTGGTGATGATTGATGGGATGGGAGGAGTGGAGAGTGTCGAAGTTGTTAATGTTTAGAAGGGGAATCCCCTTCTATTAGGACTTGAGGTAGTAAGTTCTTTTCCGGGGTTACTTCCCTTCTTCTTTTAATGCCACTAGGACCAGCTTGAGAGTCACTGGACTTCTGTCGCACAACATATCTGTCCATAGAGGCCTGTACCTCTCGTTCCTTTATGGCTTTCCTAAAGTGGTTCACAACATTGTCATTGTACAGGTTGCCAACACGGCTTGCAGTAGCTGTGTCAGGGTGATTTTCATCAAAAAAGGTTTGCACTTCAAGCCACTTTGCACACATTTCCTTAATCTTTGAAGTAGGCAACTTCTTCAATTTCTCTATCCCCTTCTCCGAAGCAGTTTCCTCAGGTCTGGCCTCTTGCTGATGAAGATGATCTAGCAGCTCATCAGTAGTTAGTTCGTCATTGTCCTCCTGTACCAACTCTTCCACATCCTCCCCACTAACCTCCAACCCCAAGGACTTCCCCAATGCCACAATGGATTCCTCAACTGGCATAGGATTCCCAGGGTTAGCCTCAAAGCCTTCAAAATCCCTTTTGTCTAGACATTCTGGCCACAGTTTTTTCCAAGCAGAGTTCAAGGTCCTCTTAGTCACTCCCTCCCAAGCCTTACCTATAAGATTTACACAATTGAGGATATTAAAGTGATCCTTCCAAAACTCTTCTAGAGCCAATAGAGTTTCTGTGGTCACTACAAAGCACCTTTCAAACAGAGCTTTTGTGTACAGTTTCTTGAAGTTTGCAATAACCTGCTGGTCCATGGGCTGCAGGAGAGGAGTGGTATTAGGAGGCAAAAACTTGACCTTAATGAAGCTCATGTCCCCTGAAAGTCGCTCTGCCAAGTCTGTAGGATGACCATGGGCATTGTCTAATACCAGGAGGCACTTAAGGTCTAATTTCTTTTCAATTAGGGAATTTTTCACATTGGGGGCAAATGCATGGTGTAACCAGTCATAGAAAAAGTCCCTAGTGGCCCATGCTTTACTGTTTGCCCTCCACAGCACACACAAATTAGCCTTGAGGATATTCTTTTGCGTGAAAGCTCTGGGAGTTTCTGCGTGATGCACCAATAAAGGCTTCACTTTGCAGTCGCCACTAGCATTGTCACACATAAGAAGAGTAAGCCTGTCTTTCATAGGCTTATGTCCTGGGAGTGCCTTTTCCTCCTGAGTAATGTAGGTCCTGCTTGGCAATTTCTTCCAAAACAGGCCTGTTTTGTCGCAATTAAACACTTGTTCAGGTTTCAAGTCTTCACTGTCTATATAATCCTTGAATTCCTTCACATTTTTCAGCTGCTTTTTGGTCCGAACTGGCAGCCTCACCATGCCTAATCACGCTATGTATGCCACTACATTTCTTAAATCTTTCAAACCAACCTTTGCTGGCCTTAAATTCACTCACATCACCACTAGTTGCAGGCAATTTCTTTACCAAATCGTCATGCAACTGCCTAGCCTTTTCACAAATGATCGCTCGAGAGATGCTATCTCCTGCTATATGTTTTTCATTTATCCACACCAATAACAGTCTCTCAACATTTTCTAGCAACACTTCCGGTCGCTGTTTCGTAATCACAGTTGCACCTTTTGCAACAACTGCTTCCTTGATTGTCGTTTTCCTGGTCACTATAGTAGAGATGGTTGATTGGGGGTTTGGTATACAACCTGGCCAGCTCCGACACACGCACTCCACTTTCTTACTTTGCAATTATCTCTTTCTTCATTTCAATAGTCATTAGCACCCTTTTTCTCGAAAGGTTGGCACTAGAAGCTTTCTTGGGGCCCATGATGACTTATTTTGCAGAAACAAGCACCAAAAACACTGTTATGATATGGAATGTACCGAATGTATCCTTAGATGCGAGCACACTGGCTGGCTTGTAAACACTGGCACACACGGGACAGTTCAGGCCACATGTGGACACGTCTCGGACGAATCGCGTATACCAGGTTTTTTAATGGGAACCGAGGCAAAATTTTTGAGTTAGAATGTATCGCATACCGGATTTATCGGATACCGATGGCATCGCGAACCGGGGGTCCACTGTAATGTGATGCACTTCAAGCACTAAAACAACTTGAAAAACATCTCTTGCCATTTTAAAATATTGTGTATAATCTTATAAAATGAAAAGAACAAAATAAAAAAATATTTGTAATTAGCTAAAAAAAATTAAGAAAATATTTTTTGCTGGAATCATGATGATGTTGCCATCATGGGGTCTTTTTCTGCCAATTTCAACACTTCATAAATTGGCACATTTTGATCCAAATTTTGTTTTGATCTTATGGTAATAATTTTATTTTTATTTTCTTGAAAATTCTGCCATGCCACCAGCACTTTTTTGTTCGGGTCTGCCATAGTATAAGGGTTAAGCAGTTGAAAACAATGAAATAAATGATATGGTATATGTGGTCTTGACGTATTAACTTGTCATTTTTCCATTCCACAGGTGTTTTAAGGCACAAACTACATCCCTCTGGATTCTGACACCTCTGATCTGAAGTCCTTCTTAAAGCATTTGTAGTGAAATGCTTTGCGCATTTTTGACAAGCCTTTTACAATCCAAGCAGTACTAAGTGGAGAACTTTGCACTTACTGCCACTCTTGTACAGAAGTTCCTTATCAGCTCAACTGAAAAATGATCACTGATACAGACACTGAAGGAAAGTCTACTCTAGAAATACATAAGGTAACTCATGGTAGAAGTAAACCTTATCAGTGCTTAGACTGTCTGAAATATTTTTCATATAAATCTGTTCTAGCAATACACATGAGAACTCACACAGGAGATAAGCCGTACCAGTGTTCAGATTGTCTGAAGCAGTTTTCACAGAAAAGTAGTCTTGCAGCACACAAGAGAGTTCATACAGGTGATAAGCCATATCAGTGTAAAGAATGTCTGAAATACTTTACAGCGAAGGGTAGTCTTGTAATACACATGAGAATTCATACAGGAGATAAACGGTATAAGTGTTCAGTGTGTAGGAAGTATTTTATGAGAAATGATCATCTTACAAAACATATGAGAATTCATGCAGGAGAAAAACCACATAAGTGTTCACTGTGTCTGAAAATGTTTACAGATAAATGTGCTCTGTTGGCTCACATGAAAATCCATTCAGGCATTAAACCGTATCAGTGTTCAGTGTGTGGGAAAAAATTCAGCAGAAAGGATTTTCTTATAAACCATGTGAAACTTCATTCAGGTGAAAAACCTTTTCAGTGTTCAGTTTGTGAGAAATATTTTCAGAACAAAAGCTATCTTGCAACACACATGAGAGTCCATACTGGAGATAAACCATACCAATGTTTAGAGTGTCTGAAATATTTTACACAAAAAGGTCATCTGGCAATTCATATGAGGATTCATACTGGTGAGAAACGATATCAGTGCTCAGAGTGTGAAAATTGTTTTAAACGAAAAAGTGATCTTGTGATACATACAAGAGTACATACAGGTGATAAACCATACCAATGTTCTGAGTGCCTAAAATATTTTTCTCAGAGACATCATCTTGTAACTCACATGAGAATTCATTCTAAGATTAAACCATATCAGTGTTTGGTGTGCTTAAAAGATTTTACTCAAAAATGTGAGCTTATAATACATACAAGAGTTCACACAGGAGATAAACCATATCAATGTGTCCAGTGTCAAAAATATTTTAAGCAAAAAGGCCATCTTACAGCACATCAGAGAATTCATACAAGATAAGTCATGGTTTATGCCAAAACACTTATGTGTAGTACAAGAGTATATACGAGATATACATTAGGGCCCTGACTTGTGAGGTTTTGCACTTATGGCATTGGCACTCTGGCCCCAGTTATCTATGAACAATTTACTTAGGATGTATTATAAAATAATATGTGTATAGAGTACTCATATTTATTGGGTTAATATGTCACTGGATGATGTGGGGAAGACTGGTGGAGGTGGGTGATGCAAAGAAGTGGATGAGGTAAAGAGGTGGGTTAGGTAAAGAGGTAGGTGAGGTAAAGAGGTGGGTGAGGTAAAGAGGTGAGTGAGGCAGAGAGGTGAAAATAAATGGTATAAAATACCGACTCACTGGAAACATAAACACATATGCAGTTTAATGTGATCCTTTATTGACAATGTTTTGCCCACACAGTGAGCTTTTTCAAGTCACACACAGATCTACCTGGGGTGGAAGGTACGGGAGTATTTATAGTCAGGTTCAGAATGTTGAGGTCAGGTGAAGAGTGCTGCATCTGATGATCTACCGGGTGGGGTTATAGAGTCTTGGGTAGCTTGGCAGGGGTATTGGACAAGTTGTGAGTAGACCTTCTGCAGTGTTCTATGTTCTTATATGGGATGGCGATGAAGAAGTTTCTTGGCAAGTGGTTCAGCTATGTTATAGAAGCCATTGTTCTGGTTGAAATTGTTGGTTATAGAGATAAGCGATGATTCCAGGATTCTTCGGTATTGAGTGTTGTCTTCTGTGGCGATAAGTCTTGAGTTTCTGTAGTTAATTAAATGGTTGTGTGAATTGCGATGTTGTACACAGGCATTCCTTGTATCATCAGTCCTGCTTGCATATTGGTGTTCTGAAATACGTGTTTGGAGATCTCTTGATGTTTCGCCCACGTATAATTTGTTGCAGTCATTACAAGGGATTATGTATACCTCTGCAGAGGATGGAAGCTTGTCCTGTCTACTGTTGGTGATGTCCTTGATGGTCGTGGTTGTGGAGGTAGATACTTGGAATGATGTATTGGAAAAGATGTTGGAAATATGTTTGGCAATGGAGTTGGTGGGGAGGACTATGTATCTCTTCTCGGCAGTGTCTTCTCTGGGTGTGTTGAAGATGTTTAATGCCCGCCGTCTGCAGTCTCTGATGAAGTCACGAGGATAGTGGAGTTTAGAAAATACTTGTTCAATTATAATGCTTTCTTCCTCAAGGAACTCATTGCTGCACATTCTGAGTGCGCGCAAGAAGAAGCCTATAATTACAGCACGTTTAGTTTTGGTGTCGTGGTGAGAGTAGAAGTGGAGAAGATCGTTTTGGTTGGTTGGTTTTCGATAGACTTTAAAATGAAGTTCATGGTCAGTTTTGCAGAGAAGAACATCAAGGAAAGGAGATTGAGAAGAACACTCGGGTGATCTTCTCAATCGCATTCGCAACATCAACATCATGAACAAGAAACTTTCCAGCCTTGACGTAACTTCCCTATTCACCAAAGTACCTACTACACAAGCCATCGATCTCCTGCGCAGAAAAATTGACGATTCACTTGATCTTCCTATTCCAGCCAGCAATTTCATCGACCTCGTTGAACTATGTGTCGGCTTTACGTGTTTCTCTTTCGAAAATCACCTCTTTCAACAGACTTTTGGTCTACCCATGGGCTCGCCACTCAGTGCCGTCCTGGCGAACTTATACATGGAACATCTGGAAGCCGAGCGTTTCTACACCAATATTCCTTCGACTGTCACCTGGCTCTGTTATGTTGGCGACATTCTCCTCATAACTCCCAGGCGCTTCAACGTTCAAGCTCTCCAAGACAAGCTCAACCAGGTCGAGCCCTCAATCCAGTTCACACTTGAAGAAGAAGTCGACAACACTCTTCCTTTCCTTGATGTTCTTCTCTGCAAAACTGACCATGAACTTCGTTTTAAAGTCTATCGAAAACCAACCAACCAAAACGATCTTCTCCACTTCTACTCTCACCACGACACCAAAACTAAACGTGCTGTAACTATAGGCTTCTTCTTGCGCGCACTCAGAATCTGCAGCAATTCTGTAAATTCAACATTGTAATCTTTATAGAGAATAAACTTTGAATTTGAATTTGAATTTGAATTTGAGGAAGAATGCACTATAATTGAACAAGTATTTTCTAAACTCCACTATCCTCGTCACTTCATCAGAGACTGCAGACGGCGGGCATTAAACATCTTCAACACATCCAGAGAAGACACTGCCGAGAAGAGATACATAGTCCTCCCCACCAACTCCATTGCCAAACATATTTCCAACATCTATTCCAATACATCATTCCAAGTATCTACCTCCACAACCATGACCATCAAGGACATCACCAGTAGTAGACAGGACAAGCTTCCATCCTCTGCAGGGGTATACATAATCCCTTGTAATGACTGCAACAAATTATACGTGGGCAAAACATCAAGAGACCTCCAAACACGTATTTCAGAACACCAATACGCAAGCAGGACTGATGATACAAGGAATGCCTGTGTACAACATCGCAATTCACACAACCATTTAATTAACTACAGAAACTCACGACTTATCACCACAGAAGACAACACTCAATACTGAAGAATCCTGGAATCATTGCTTATCTCTATAGCCAACAATTTCAACCAGAACAATGGCTTCTATAACATAGCTGAACCACATGCCAAGAAATTTCTTCATTGCCATCCCACATAAGAACATAGAACACTGCAGAAGGTCTACTCACAGCTTGTCTACCCAAGACTCTATAACCCCACCCGGTAGATCATCAGATGCAGCTCTCTTCACCTGACCTCAACATTCTGAACCTGACTATAAATACTCCCATACCTTCCACCCCAGGTAGATCTGTGTGTGACTTGAAAAAGCTCACTGTGTGGGCGAAACGTTGTCAATAAAGGATCACATTAAACTGCATATGTGTGTATATTTCCGAGGCAGAGAGGTGGGTGAGGTAAAGACGTGGGCGAGGCAGCTCTCGCTCTGCACTGCTAGTTGTGTTGTGGCGGTGTTTAGTAAACAGTTGTGTTGTAGAGGTGTTTAGTAAATAGTTGTGTTGTAGAGGTGTTTAGTAAACAGTTGTGTTGAGGCAGTGTTTAGTAAACAGTTGTGCTCTAGAGGTGTTTAGTAAACAGTTGTGTTGTAGAGGTGTTTAGTAAGCAGTTACGTTGTAGAGGTGTTTAGTAAACAGTTGTGATTGGGAGGTGTTTAGTAAGCAGTTATGGAGGTGTTTAGTAAACAGGTATGGAGGTGTTTAGTAAACAGTTGTGGAGGTGTTTAGTAAACAGATTTAGAGGTGTTTAGAAAACAGTTGTGGAGGTGTTTAGTAAACAGTTTTGGAAGTGTTAAGAAAGCATTTGAGGAGGTGTTTAGTAAACAGTTGTGGAGGTGTTTAGTAAACAGTTTTGGAAGTGTTAAGAAAGCAATTGTGGAGGTGTTTAGTAAACAGTTGTGGAGGTGTTCAGTAAACAGTTGTGGAGATGTTTAGAAAACAGTCGTGGAGGTGTTAAGTAAACAGTTGCGGAGGTGTTCAGTAAACAGTTTTGGAGGTGTTTAGTAAACAAATGGTCTAAGGTGCAACTCCACACATAAACATTCTTCCTTATGCAAGACACTCACCCTCATTTCCACACACCTACACCACCCCCACACCTACACCACCCCCACACCTACACCACCCCCACACCTACACCACCCCCACACCTACACCACCCTCACACCTACACCACCCTCACACCTACACCACCCTCACACCTACACCACCCCCACACCTACACCACCCTCACACCTACACCACCCCCACACCAACACCAACCCTCACACCTACACCACACCCACACCACCCTCACACCTACACCACCCCCACACCTACACCACACCCACACCTACACCACTCCCACACCTACACCACCCCCACACCTACACCACCCCCACACCTACACCACCCCCAAAACCTACACCACCCTCACACCTACACCACCCTCACACCTACACCACCCTCACACCTACACCACACCCACACCTACACCACCCTCACACCTACACCACCCCACAACCAACACCACCCTCACACCTACACCACACCCACACCTACACCACCCTCACACCTACACCACCCCCACACCTACACCACACCCACACCTACACCACCCCCACACCTACACCACCCCCACACCAACACCACCCTCACACCTACACCCACACCCACACCTACACCACACCCACACCTACACCACCCTCACACCTACACCACCCTCACACCTGCACCACCCTCACACCTGCACAACCCCCCACACCTACACCACCCCCACACCTACGCCAACCCCACACCAACACCACCCCCACACCTACACCACAACCCACACCACCCTCACACCTACACCCCCCCTCACACCTGCACCACCCTCACACCTGCACAACCCCCCCACACCTACACCGCCCTCACACCTGCACAACCCCCCACACCTTACAAACCCCCCTCACACCCACACCACCCCCCACACCTACACCCTCACACCTACACCACCCTCACACCCAACACCCCCCCACACCTACACCACCCTCGCACCTGCACCACCCCCACACCTACACCCCCCCCACCCCCACACTTACACCACTCTCACACAACACCACCCCACACCTACACACCCCCACACCTACACCACCCCCACATTTACAAACCCCTCTCACAACTACACCACCCCCACACCAACTCCACCCCCACACTTACACCACTCTCACACCTACATCACCCCCACATCTACACCACCCCTACACCACCCCCCCCCCACCTACACCATGCCCCCACTTACACCACTCTCACACCTACACCCCCCCCACACTTACAAAACCTCTCACACCCCACACCACCCCCACACCACCCCATACTTACACCACTCTCACATGTACACACCCCCCACCTACACCACCCCCACACCACCCTCACATTACACCACTCTCACACCTACACCACCCCCACACCAACACAACCCCACATTACACACCTCTCACACCTACATCACCCCCCCTTACACCACCCCCACACCTACACCATGCCCACACTTACACCACTCTCAACACCTACACCACCCCCACACTTACACCACTCTCACCCCCCACCTACACCACTCACACCTACAAACCCCTCTACACCTGCACCCCCCCCACAATTACACCACTCTCACACCTACACCACTCTCACACCTCAACCACCCCCTCACTTACACCACTCTCACACCTACACCACCTCCACACTTACAGCACTCTCACACCTACTCACTCTCCCACCTACAACACCCTCACACCTACACCACCCTCACACTTACACCACCTTCACACCTACAACACCTTTACACCTACACCACCCCCAAACCTACACCACCCCCACACCTACACCACTCCACACCTACACCACCCCCACACTTACAACACCCTCACACCTACACCACCCATACTCTCACACCTACACCACCCCCAAACCTACACCACCCTCACAGCTACACCACCCTCACACCTACACCCCACCACACCTACAA